TCAATTCAGTTTTTCTTTTTTTTTTGTCCAACAAGATGGCGCCAGTGCACCCGGCTTGCCGTCTCTCTGTCTCTTGTTTGTCTCAGTTTGGTGTACCTGTGGTACCTGTTCGTCTGACATCTGTGCTGTTCGTTTTATGCATGATTTTGCACTGGTTGCATGCAGTCTCAGTGCTCACCTACAATCGCCAAGCTTTGCTTAATATCAAAAATTGCATGGGAGTTTACCGTGGATTGTGCCCCGTTCTGCATTCTCATTCTCAATCCTCGTTCAACCAACCCGCGCTGGAGTGCGCTCGCCGGTTACCGTGCTGTGTTCCTCTCTTAAGAAAGCGCCGCAGGAAGAGAGGTAATCCTGGTGGTGTTCGGGTGAGAATCAGAAGGGCAATTGCGTCTTCCATACAGTCTTCGATGGAGTTTCCTCTGGATAGTATAAGCTTTGAGTGTCTTCACCTGTCGCGACGTTCATGGGATTATATTTTTCATCTCCCGGTTTCCCCGGATATTCACTCATCTATTTTTTTCTGCTCCTTCGCGTTTACGGATCCGTCAAAGAGGAGTGAACTGTTCAAATCTCTGCCAACTGAAGTTCCTGCTGTAACCTCTGCTACTGTGAATAAGCCTGCTGGTTTTTATTCTCGTTTTATAAACTCACTGACTGTTTCTCAGTTCAATGAAGATTATCTAGCTAATGCTGTTGAAAAATCTATCTTGCATGCTGCAAAGGCGTCCTATGGGCCTGACGATTTGATTTCTCTGTTTTACACAGATTGTTCTAATATCTTAGATTCTATTGCTCCTTTTAAAATGAAACAACCAAAGATAAAAGCTTATTACTGGTTGGATGACAACGCTCGCTATCTTAGACAGGCGTGCCGTAAAGCAGAGAGAAGATGGAAGCATGATCGTCTGACTGTGTCTCTTGAGATTTTTAAGTTTCGGGTTAGTCGGGTTAAGTTTCAGAGCGCTGCTAAGTCAGCTAGATCAAAATATTTGTCAGAACTGATTAGCGCACACTGTCATAGACCTAGGGTTTTATTCTCCACAATAAATTCAGTAATTAATCCGAATTCCCAGTTTTCTAGGGAGCCGTCAGCAGGGCTCTGTGAGAAATTTTTGACATTTTTTGTTGACAAAGTGAGAGCCATTCGCTTATCTTTTACTTCACAGCTTTCAGACCTGTCTTTGAACTCGCCTGCTAGTCCATTTTTATTTTGTCATTTTCAACATGTCTCTTTAATGGAACTTTCCGATCTCGTTAACAAAATGAAGTCTACTAACTCCTCACTGGATGTTGTTCCTTCTGAGATCATAAAAGCAGCTTTTCCAGTAATTGGCCCCAGTGTCCAAGTGTTGATTAACTCATCTTTGGACACTGGTGTGGTTCCGAACTGCTTTAAGCATGCGGTTGTTCAGCCTTTGCTTAAGAAGCAAGGTTTGGATGAAAGTTGCTTTAACAATTTTCGGCCTGTCTCAAAGTTATCATTTTTGTCAAAGCTTTTGGAAAAAGTTGTGCAATTACAGCTGATCACATTCTTAAATACAGCTAATTTATTAGAACCTTTTCAATCTGGTTTCACTGCTTATCACAGTACGGAGTCTGCTTTACTTAAAGTGTTCAATGATATTTTGGTTGCAGTTGATGCCGGTAAAAGTGCGGTATTGATTCTACTGGATCT